AAGAAAGAAAGAAAGAAAGAAAGAAAGAAAGAAAGAAAGAAAGAAAGCAAGCAAGCCAGAGTGGTCAAGGATCTGTGTTAGGAGAAGGCAGATAACTACGTTCCTCCGTGGCAGGGGAATTCTTTCCAACCTGAAGAAACATTTTATCATCCGAATGAACTAAATCAGAAATGCAACCTTGTACTCATATATTTTATAGCAGCTGCTGTTGCTAGTAACCAGAAGCTCCAGTAGGAATTCTCGAGTCTATTACATGCCTCTTTCCACCAGGCTCAAATGAGATGCCTCTTACATTATTCTGAAACTCCAAATTTCCACTGTCGTTCCTTCTCAAGCCAATAAACTTCCGAGGCCCCAGACACTATTTCCCACCCAGAATTTGGGCAGCTTGTTATCTGTGCCGGATTGGTATTTGGGAGGGTGAGATGTGAAGTCATTTAGATCGACAAGGAGTTCCTGGCCTAATTATCCCATCCATTCTTGTGCTGAACCTTTTCTTCTCTTTGTTGTCCCATAAGCTTCAGGAACAAATGATAATTATTTTTCCCCTTGGAGAGGAAGGAGGACTTGCCTTGACAAACGTCGCCAGGAGCACAAAATGAGCTTATTTTTATTTCAAGTCTCTCCGTAGCCATAGGATTGCTTTGGCTCCATTCAAGGCCTCGGTTCAAGGCTGTTTGAACAGCCTTAAGGGATGGAAACTCATGTTTTTCATCTCTGGAAAACACAGAGAATGCAGCCAGGGGTCATATTCCCTCGGGGTCAATTGGACTTGGGGTTGCAGCAAAGGTGGGTATTCAGTCAGTTCTGACCAGTTCTGGAGAACCAGTAGTGGAAATTTTTAGTAGTTCAGAGAACCAGCCAATCCCACCTCTGACTGGCCCCGCCAACCCCATCTATTCTCTGCCTCCCATTGAGTCCCAGCTGATCAGCTGGGTTTTCCTTGGTTGCCCTGCACAGGAGAACGGAGCTGGAAAGCGGGTTAGTGGGGTGGGGAGGGAATGGGGATTTTGCAGTAATCTTCCCCTGCCAGAAAGAAAGAAAGAAAGAAAGAAAGAAAGAAAGAAAGAAAGAAAGA